CAGACTTGGCCATCGCTGTGAGCCTCTGGCAGGTGGAGATGCGATACTTCACTCAAATGTCATCGCTACCGACGCGGCTGGTTTGGGGCAGCTCCCGACGAGGTCCTGAGCAGCTCGCTTGCAACTCGTTCAGCTAAAAGAAAAAAAGGTGAAAGCTATGGCTCGTCCTGGCCCTGCCCTCCCCAGGAAGCCCTCTGGTTTCCCCAGGCGCAGGGAGAGGGTGGAGACTCCCTGGGGTGACGGACTGCGGGGAGCCCAGCTCCCGGCTCACCGCTGTTTTGCAGCAGACGTGATGACACGGGTGGGACTGCCCTGCCCTGCAAGCTGAGCGAGCGAGCTGTAGGGGCTGTGTTTCTACACACCACGTTCTTCTCCTCCCTGGCTCCTGCTTCCCTTCCACCGCCTCTGCCACCTCCTCAGCAGCCCTGCAGCGCTGACCCCGACCGGCTGCTGGTAAGTGAGTCAGTAGCAGCAGTTCAGTCCTTTTATTGAAATTATAGATTTAATTCGGTGCAGTGGCTTGCTTCCTCGTCCATGAATTGCTTACTCTGCCATCGCTAAGGAATTAGATTCAGCAGCTGTTTTCCTCCAACAGCCAAGGAAAACACAGCGGAACACTTGCCTACCTTTTCCCAGCTTTTCAAGGGATTTTATTGAGAAATTTGGCAAGAAATTAATGAAAATACGTTTTATAAATGGGGGACAGAGTTAAAGGGTTAAAGTAAAACCAGTAAAAAGGTGAAAAGTTAGAACATTTTGCAGGAACTACCATACTCGGAGTCTGCTCATGCATGTTAATGCACTGCAGATAACACGCGTGCACATGCCAGCACACAGAGTGCTGCTTACTCGGTCCCCAATTAACACACAGGGCTCTTTTCACAGAAGGTAGGTTACAAATCCCTAGTAAATCGGTTGGCAATTAACTTACAGATTGCCTGAATCGCATTATCCTTATTTACTCAAATGGTTTTAATTTCCTACGCGTGTTCCTCAGAAAGAAGACTGTATGGTCCTGGGCTGGCAGTACTAGGCTGTACTGCTCTCTTTGCATGCCCACATCCATTCTCTGGCCAGTCTACACCCTCGTAAACGCATGCAACTAAAGAGGAAAAAAAAGGTATACTTACAAGTTCTGTGAATTTATATGTATCCAAAGTCTTAAATACACATTTGTAGTACATACTGTACTGTTTCAGCTTGCAGGTTGCAAGACTAAACTCTGTACCCATTAAAAACAAGAGAAATAATAGCTCATTTAATTGTGGTTTCTCTGGCAGGTTCAAGTGTTCAGAAAACAGGATAATTTTTTTAAAGGGTTTGAGCCAGGTTCCTTTAGAAAACTCTGCTGAAAGGTGCTTGTGTCTCGTCCTCCTTAAGTTATTTCAATGCTTATTCTCTACAGAGATAAAATACTTTGAATAACTGCCTGGATTTTTAAAAAATCAATTAAAATGTACTTCTGAATTTTGCCACTCGAAATTTTACTACCACTCCTATAGTATTGTTTATTCTATTTGAACTGTAAATCCCTCCAGTGCCAAAAGCCTTGCAGGAAGGCTGGCAGGAATGAATGTTACTTAGCTTTTTATATAGACAATGTATCTTAGGGCATGCAAGTAGGTTTACTGAAGTTGCTTGAAAGACCCCAGGTATGATACTGCTGTGGTTCAAGCAGGTTTAAGTCAATGGAACTTTGTAGTACATTTTGTTGTTGATTTATGTTTTTGTTGTAGGGAAAATGAGATCTTGTGTTTTACAAGTCTCAGAAGACTACACAGGAAAGTGACTGTACTGAGAGTTTCATTTTCTGTGCATCAAAACAGTGAGCAAAAAGATTTCATGATAGTTTTTAAGAAAGGAGTTTCTTTTTGCCATTAAGAAAAAGTTAAATCTCAAGATCTAGTACTTTGCCTACTGACAAAATTTTCTGAGACTAAATATCTCTGAAGAAAAGGTTTTTCTATTAGGCTTGAGCTGAAATTGATGCTAAAATCAGTGGCAATAAAAATATTTCAGAATATTTTCTGAAAAGAAAGATTTGGGAAAACAAATGAAATTTGTAAAATCCCCAAAGAGTTCATAAATTTTATATTCAGCTGATGCAAAAATAATGTATTATACCCAGAGCTGATACAATGAAGATATGAAACACTTCATCATATTAACCAGTATTTCTGAATACAGCAGGCAGTATATACTGTCATTGAATCTCCATTTAACTTCTGATCTAAAGTAGATATTTGTAAGCCATTGGCAATGAATTCTAGGAAACTTCATTTAAAGAATTTTAGTTTGCATAGAAATTGATTTTATTAACATTCATCATGGTTGTTTCTTTGTCCTCCACATGCTCTGACTTAAAATATTTCATGTCTGTATGTCACAATAAATGAAATAAATAATTTTTTAAACAAGGTCTAAAGCAATACTTAAAAAAAATCCATTCCTAAGGAGCAATTGCAAACAGCTGACAATTATATTAGCTGTAATGGAGCATGCCCCTGTATTCCTGTGGTGAATTTTATTGATGGATCAGAAATGGAAAGGTTGGTTTGTAAAACACCAAACTGTTTAGCTGACTGTGAGTACTTACCCCACAGTGAAAAAAAAGGTCTCCAAAAAAGAAAAGCAGATCAAAAGCCCGAGTCTAGCACACAAGCATTATTTCCGCTGTCAGCACTTCTTCTCTCAGCACACTGCTAGCTGAGATCCAGATCTCCACTCTCGGAGGTTTCCATGAGTCCCCCAGGCAAAGCCACGGCTGCCCTGATCTCGTGTTGGTGACACTCCTGCTCGGAGGGAGAAGCTGGGTTATGGGACTTCCCAAGGCCCCTTCCTACCAGCATGTCCAGAACTCTGTCAATTGCCATGTTAAATCTCAAGATCCAGTACCTTGCCAGATTAGCCCAGAAACTACTATGTAAATAGCCTTATAAAATTAGCTGCTCTCCTGCAGGTAGATAAGTCTTTTTTGGCACAAGTAGAAAAGAGCGTAGGCAGTTTATCAACAAAAGGCCTCCAGACTTGAAATGTTGCACATTTAATTGATGTTCAACTTACTTAAAATCCACTTCCGCTTAAATTAAAGCTAGTCCCATTATAATTACATTTGG